AAACATATATGCGCCTGTTCTTCGCGTAATAGCGACCTCAAAATCTGGATAAAACACGAGTTCTATAAATGCGACAAAAGGCTTTTGAATTTTTTTCCTAAGAAATCGCTGGTACTGACAACCGCGTTTTATAAAAATTAAATTTTTTTCTTCTGAACTCCTAGTCTGAACACGATTATTATCCCAAAAAAAATTCTTTCTAAAACCTCGCGGTCTCGAATCACGGATGGCCAAAATTTTTCAACGAATCAAATTCATTCTAGGACACAATGACAACACATATATATTTAATTCAAATTCTATTCTGACCACATATGACAAACACATTTTAACACGTTTTCTGTCTCTCTCACACTGCACACACTATAATTTTGTAATAAATTGAGACTAATATTATTTTATATATATTATAATATAAATAAATTTCATTTTATAAAATTGGAGACTAATATTAAATATATATAATAATAATTTATAATAGCAAATAATTCAATTATATATTTTGTAAATATAAATCATTTTTATATAATTTTAGAAATAATTTTTTACAAATTAAATTGAAACAACCATACATACTGTATGTAATAACCTGTCCAAAAGTTAAAATATAATTATTTTTTACCCTTAAAATAATATTTATTTTTTATTTTTTATTTTCTTAACCAATTAATTTTTATTTTTAAAAAATAATTCTAAAATCAAACCATACATAACCTAAAATCTTTTAATAAGTCATTTTTTACGTTGGTAATTATTTAATTATTTATTAATTTTACGACATTTTACCATCTGAGGCATGTTTGGTAACCATTTCGTTTTCAGTTTTAATTTATATATTACAAACATTAAAAAAAAACTACCATAAAAACTTGTTTGATAATTTTTTTAGTTTATAATGGTTGTCTCAATTTGTAAATTTAGGAAAAAACTAAATTCAAAAAATTTATAGTTTTTTGGATTAAAAAAAATTATTGAGACAACCAAGTAATTATTTACAAACCAACGTAAACTCATTTTTTTGATTGTAATTCAAAAATTAATTGAAAAAAATAATTGAAGAAAAATTTTGTTAGTAAAAATTACCAATTTTTTGAATTTACGTTTTTTCCTCAATTTATCAAAATTGAAGACAACCATTTATAAACTAAAAAATACATCAAAACAGTTTTATGATAGTTTTTTAAATATTTTGTAAATATTAAATTAAATTAAAACTGAAACGAAATTGTTACCAAAACCTGCCTCAGATGGTAAAAATGTCTAAAATTAATAAATAATTAAATAAGATTCTAACGTAAAAAATGACTTATCAAAAGATTTTAGGTTATGTATGTTTGGATTTTTAGAATTTTTTTTTAAAAATTAAAAATAATTTGTTATGAAATAAAAAATAAAAATAAATATTATTTAAGGGTAAAAAAATAATTATCATTTTAACTTTTGGACAGGTTATACATACGTATGTATGGTTTGTTTCAATTTAATTTATAATACACATATTAACAGGAGTGGTTTTGTAAGTGAACAGAAGACCTAGTAATTTATTTGATGTATAAAAGAAGTTCACATACTGAACAGGGGTAGTCTATCAAACTGTGAACATGAACTTACACAAGTCTGTTGTTTTATAAAAATTGAGACTAATAATTAAATATATATAAAATAAATTTATAATAGCCCCCAAATAATATCGACAGTGAAATATTTGTGAGAGAGGCTATCAATTGCTCTTGAGATAGAGCGTTGCATGAGTATCTGGTTAGAGGAAAGACGGATTGCACACACTATGAAAACACCATTAGGACATATGTATGTATATACCTGTCCAAAAGTAAAAATGATAAATTATTTTTTACCCTTAAATAATATTTATTTTTTATTTTTTTATTTCTTATAACCAAATTAATTTTTAATTTTTTTAAAAAAAAATTCTAAAAATCAAACATACATAACTAAATTTTGATAAGTCATTTTTTAATACGTTGGGTAAATTATTTAATTATTTATTAATTTTTAAACGATGCACATTTTTTACCATCTGAGGCATGTTGTAACCATTTCGTTTCAGTTTTTAATTTATATTACAAAAATTTAAAAAAAACTAATCATAAAAACTATGTTTGAGATAATTTTCTAGTTTATAAATTGGTTGTCTCCAAGATTTGTAGAATATTACGTGAAAGAAACGTAAAATTTCAAAAAAATTGAGTTTTTTGAACAAAAAAAATAATTTTTTTTGATTAAAAAAATTATTGAGACCAAACCAACGTAATTATTTACAAACCAATCGTAAACTCATTTTTTGAAGTGTAAATTCAAAAATTAATTGAAAAAAAAAATTAATTGAAGAAAATTTAGTTAGTAAAATTTACCAATTTTTTGAATTTATGTTTTTTTCCTCAAATTTACAAATTGAGACAACATCTATAAACTAAAAAAATTATCAAACAAGTTTTTATGATAGTTTTTAAATAAAATTTTTGTAAATATAATTGAAACACTGAAAACGATAAATTGTTACCAAACCTGCTCAGATGGAAATGTATTGTAAAATTAATAAATAATTAATAAGTTACTAACGTAAAAAATGACTTATCAAAAGATTTTTAGGTTATGTATGGTTTTGATTTTTAGAATTGTTTTTTAAAAATTAAAAATTAATTTGGTTATGAAATAAAAATAAAAAATAAAATATTATTTTAAGGGTAAAAAATAATTATCAATTTTAACTTTTGGAACAGGTTATATTCATACGTATGTATGGTTGTTTCATTTTTTTTCAAATTTACAAACTGAGACAATCATTTATAAATCAAAAAAATTATCAAACAAGTTTTTATGACAATTTTTAAAATTTTTGTAAATATAAATAAAAATCTGAAAATGAAATGGTTACGAAACAGGCTTCAGATGGTAAAAATGTCGTAAAATTAACAAATAATTAAATAAGTTACCAACGTAAAAAATGACTTATCAAAAGATTTTTAGGCTATGTATGGTTTGATTTTTAATTTTTTTTTAAAAAAATTAAAAATTAATTTGGTTAAGAAATAAAAAATAATTATCATTTAAGTGTAAAAAATAATTATCATTTTAACTTTTGGACAGGTTATATACATACGTATGTATGGTTGTTTCAATTTAATTTGTAAAAAATTATTTCTAAAATTATATAAAAATGATTTATATTTACAAAAATTATATAATTGATTATTATTTGCTATTATAAATTATTATTATATATATTTAATATTAGTCTCAATTTTATAAAATAAAATTTATTTATATTATAAATTATATATTAAAATAATATTAGTCTCAATTTTATTACAAAATATATATGTGTGGCATAGTGTGAGAGAGACAGAAAACGTGTTAAAAATGTTTGTCATAGTGTCATAGTGTCAGAATGAATTTGAATAAATATATATGTGTGTCATAGTGTTAGAATGAATTTGTGTTTGAAAATATTTTGGCCAAAATCGTGATTCAGAACCGCGAGTTTAGAAAAAAAAAATTTTGGATAAAAGTGTGGTTCAGAACAGCGAGTTCAGAAGAAATTTTTTTTTGGATAAAATCGTGGTTCATAACAGCGATTTTAGAAGAAAAAAAAATTAATTAAAAGC